GGGATCGTCCCGATTGCGCACATTACTGATCAGACACGACAATATTTCCCGATCGGACACCAACCCGATCGGACACAGCCCCGATCGGACACAGTATATCAGAAATATATAGGTTTGGGTTAGGTTATATCTTCCGGAAGTGGAGCCTCCCCGGGGGGCGGGGCGGAACATACTGCCCTCACGCATATACTTTTTAATGCGTAGTAAGGTTCCACATAGATTTACAACTTTCCACGCGAAGTTCAACGCACCTCCCCGTAGGGGGGGTGGAACATACTGCCCCCATGCATATACTTTTTAATGCGAAGTAAGGTTCCACATAGGTTTACAACTTTCCACGCGAAGCGAGGTTCAACGCAAACCTATGTGTCTAGTTTTTTGATAGTGGAGCCTCCCCGTAGGGGGGGTGGAACATACTGCCCCCATGCATATACTTTTTAATGCGAAGTAAGGTTCCACATAGGTTTACAACTTTCCCCGCGAAACGAGGTTCAACGCAAACCTATGTGTCTAGTCTTTTGATAGTGGAGCCCCCCCATAAGGGGGGCGGAACCCATTGTTTCGGCGCATACATTTCCCCAACCACACAACAATTGTAAGGACCTAGCTTCGCGATGGGGACTGTGTCTGATCGGAACTGTGTCCAATCGGGTCTGTGTCCAATTGAGCCTGTGTCCGATCGGGCCTGTGTCCGATCGGGCCTGTATCCGATCGGGCCTGTGTCCGATCAGGCCTGTGTCCGATCGGGTCTGTGTCCGATCGGGAAATATTGTCGTGTCCGATCAGTAATGTGCGCGATTGTCGTGTCGATGCCGTATATTTACAAATTGAGACTCACTCACATCGTTGAGGCACTGTAAATATAATGTAAAAATTATAATACACAATTTGCAGAAAAGATGTACACCACAAAACTACGTACCCACGATAAAAATGCAGCCTTTGCAGCATCTAATATCTTTTGATAAAATTTGGTTGCTTGCCGCGACATATCAATTATCTCTTGAGCCATTTTTATACATTTTTTACTTCACTTCTTTCAAAACTACCTCACGAACAGTCAGACACTTTGTGACGGACATACCGGGATAGACATTATCTCGATTAAACATTTTAGAGTAGGGGATGTATCACTTTACCAAGAACGCTTACTCTCAGCTCTCTTGATAAGAAAACAAAAATTAGCATGTTTCTACAGACAACTATTTAAAGTCTTTTAAATATGAAAAATATATTATTATAATATGTAAACCACTATCGAACGGCTATTGAACGACTATCGAACGGCTACCAAACGGCTTTGGACGGCTATCGAACGGCTTTGAACGGCTCTCGATCGGCTTTGAACGGTTATCGAACGGCTTTGAACAGCTATCGAACGGCTATCGAACAGCTTTGAACGGCTATTGAACGACTATGAACGACTATTGAACGGCTATCGAACGGCTATCGAACAGCTTCGAACGGCTATCGAACAGCTACCGAACGGCTATTGAACGGCTTTGAACAGCTATCGAACGGCTATCGAACAGCTTTGAACGGCTATTGAACGACTATGAACGACTATTGAACGGCTATCGAACGGCTATCGAACAGCTTCGAACGGCTATCGAACAGCTACCGAACGGCTATTGAACGGCTTTGAACAGCTATCGAACGGCTATCGAACAGCTTTGAACGGCTATTGAACGACTATGAACGACTATTGAACGACTATCGAACAGCTTTGAACGACAAAACAATTATATGCAATTTATATGCAATTCAAATATTTAAAGTCTATGTCCATGTACTGAAATGTAACATCTATATTTTAATTAACTAGTTGACGCCGCTATTTAACGTCACGTACAGAAATTTAATACTCGCATACTGGGATAAGAAAGAGGAAAAGGGAAGAATAAAAGAGAATAAAATATATTTTAACAATAGTTTATTCTAAGTAATGTTTGGGTGAATCTTTATGATGATTCGTCCACCAATTGAATATTTTAAATACATTTTGTAAAGCGCAATGTTTTAAATGTTTTTCACTACTTTGCATAGTATTAGTAACATCTAGCTTATTTAACGAAGTGATATCTTCATAGTCCGCATCCAGGGTCTCAATAATAACGTCGTTTCTCGCATCATCGTCAAGTATATCGGCCGACCATTCTCGTTTTTCGTGTCCTTTAATGTACACGATAGGAGATGCTCCATCTTCCTCTTACGTCGCGCCCATCACAGCTCTCGTAATCAAACACCTAGCGAAGCTGTATGAAACGTTTCCATCTTCCCATTGAAGTCCATGGTGATGTCCGATTAGCCATGAAGCTTGGCATCTTTCAGATTTTGTAAGCGCACGCCATGGTATTTTTTTTCTTAGCCGCTGTTGAGAACCCTCGTCCACGCTTGTATGGAGCGAGATAAAGTCCATGACCTTCCATGGCGCGATTATGACGTTGCATTTCTTCGAGCTGACGTTGCGCCGCCTTGCTATCGTTCACTGCCTTCGCGATTCCCGCTGCCCCGCCAGCCAATGAACCGAGAACTCCCAATAGAGTGAGTCCCAGTTGCGCACAGAATAAATCGGACACAGCAGGTTGAATGAATCGGACACAGACACAGACAACCCCCGTGTGTCCGTTTCTTATTGTGTCCGATTGAGTCTGTGTCCGATTCATTCAACCTGCTGTGTCCGATTTATTCTGTGCGCAACTGGGACTCACTCACGAGGGTCACCAGTTCCGGAAGATATAACCTAACCCAAACCTATTCCTGTAGCGGGATTCTGTAACTCCTTAACGACGAAAATCGCTATCGTTAACTTTCGATATCGATGATTATCGCAAAAGATTATTCTGTAACTAGCAGTTATCGACAACTCTCGATAACTTGAATCGTTGAATTTCGAAAATTGTCGAAGCCGTGTCGATACGGTTGCGATCGATACCGGAGGTCTCGCTAAGCCGTTAACGATAATCTGTGTAATCGGTAATACGTTGATGTATGTAATGTATGCATGTACGTGTAATATATGTGACATGTGACATAGCGAATTAGAAAAGTTGCTGGATAAAATATAGCTATTACGGTAATAATACGGATTGAAAGTAAGTACAAGTTTTTCTGTTCCTTGAACCTTTAACTTTTCTCTAATAGTTTCCCATAAAATAATTTCTTAACTTTTCGTTTTAAGATGGCTCTTGGCTATCTTGCCTTAGATTTAATGAGAATGGAAGATCGTGTTCAACGCCTTGAACGAAGGACACAGCGACAATTGCTGCGAGCAACAGAAGATCCATTTGATTTGACGAACAACGAACTTAGGGAGCTGTACCGCCTAACACCGGACTTAATTTTCGATCTCATCGATGCATTAGAACCTCGATTGCAGCGGACAAGGATCACTGGACTGTCTACAGAAAAGAAAGTAATACAAATTATAACACCATATATTTTACAATACAATGTATTATATATTTTTGTTTTCTTAGGAGTGTTTATTTTTATTTTTTTTAATTTTAATTTGAGTTTGTTGATGGTATTCATATAAATTTCATATGTTATAGGTATTATCGGCAGTAAGATTTTATGCAACTGGCTGCTTTCAACGTCCTGTGGGTGAGCAATGGGGCATTTCCATGAGCCAGACATCTATCAGCAGATGTATACACAAAGTGACAGATGCGATCAACGATTTAATATTTAGACAGTGGGTACAATTTCTTATGACTCTAGGAGCCAGGCAGCTAGCGAGAATGCAATTTCAAAATGCACATCAGCCATTTGAAGGAGCTATAGGAGCAATTGACTGCACTCACGTAGCGATTCTTGCTCCCACAGAGCATGAAGAAGCCTACGTTAATCATCATGGATATCATTCATTAAATGTGCAAATGGTAAATATTTAAATCATTGATTTGTACAACGTGTTTTATGTATTAATAACTAATTACAATGTTTGATCCCTTAGATATGTAACCCGAATTTAAAAGTACTAAATGTTAATGCAAGATATCCCGGAGCACGGCACGATGCATATATATGGAGTGCTTCTGCTGCACGACGAGTTATGGAACGCGCATACAATCGTGGTGAACGGCGAACATATCTCATTGGTAATTATTATCTTAATTTTTTATGTTAGAAATTACTGTAGAAAGCTTTTATTGTCGATTTATGGCACATAATACATCATGTATTTTACACATCGTTCGTTTCAGTACATGAATTCTTAAATTCCTTGTATTGAATCTAAATTGTATTAAAAAGCTTTAAATATTTTGTTTATATAGGTGATTCAGGTTATCCATTGGAGCCATGGCTATTAACTCCTTTGCCCCGAGAGCCGCAAGGAACTCCACGTTTCGCATATAACGAAGTGTTATGTAGCGCAAGAAATTGTGTCGAACGTCTTTTTGATGTAATGAAGTCTACCTGGAGATGTCTTTCTCGACATAGGGTCTTGCAATATGAGTCTGGCTTTGCTGGAAGAATTGTCAATGCTTGCGCAGTCCTCCATAATATGCGAATTGCTCACGGCATACTTGATGATGATCTGTTCGATGAATTTGATGATGCACATATGTACGAAAATTGTGGTGAGGCTCATGATATTAATAATCCGGATAATAATGATCGTAGACCTCTTGCTATCGCACGTCGCATCCAAGATCGTTTAATAGCAGAAAGATTTGGTAGATGAAATTGTACAATGTATAAATGTAAATTTAAAATTAATTATCTTATACATCAGATCATTTTCAATCCATTTTATTGTGATAAAAAGCAATTTGTTTTCGTTTTCTTAACTTCTATATTTATTTAAAAAATGTATTGTCTAAATATATTCAATATTCTTTTCTTGTATATATTATAGGTGTAAATATACAGATATATTTAGGTGTAAATATATACACAGTATTTTTTGTAAAGATTGAATAGACAAGCAATACACACAAAGTGCTAAAAGTTTTTATATTTTGTATTCCTGATTCAGTTAATCATATGTAATAAGATTGACACACAAATTTTGTTGAATAGCGTTACACCATATACAGGGTGTCCCATAATTCGCGGATCACCTGCCATGTGCAGGTAGAGCACATGAAACCGAGAAGAAAAGTCCTTTACCATTTTGCGATTTTCGTAATAATTATTAAGAAATTAATTAAAAAAGATGGGCCAATCACAAGCGCGCGGCGAGAAGAGACTTCCTACACAGGCGTTGCTCGGTGCGCGGCGAAGCGGTGGAAGGGGCGCTGTATACGGCTACGTACGAGCGAACGCTGAAGCCACGCATCTCGAACTATTCTCTCTCTCTCTCTCTCTCTCTTTCT